CCCCAAAACCCCAAAACCCCAAAACCCCTCATAGATATAGACTGATTGAAACCTGGGAATTTAAAAATATCGTGTTATTAGTAATGGATACTTATAATGCTGGTATGCCTAGAAATCTACACATGTGTAATCTTAAGGAAAGGAACAAACTATACAGAATTGATCAAATTTTTATGCAGAAATGTTAATATCATAGAATCCATTTTCATTCAAAATCTTCCAGATTTCATTCTTCTCAATCCCGCAATTATCCGCTCATATCCTCCTAAAACTCAGCTTGAAATCTGGAGAACTAGCTAATCCCTTGATTAGGTTTCTAAACTCTTGAGGATTTCTCTCCCAGTCTGAATACATAGATCCTCCTGACCTATTGAAGGCAAGCATCTTGATCATTGTATTCGTCAATATTTGTGAAAAGTCAATGACTGCAGGGACTGAGATTTTACAGCAGTAGAAACATATTTTTTTGATATGCTTAAACGACGCTATTACTCTCTTTAATTGATGAGCACTGAATTTGAACCGATCAAAACCTATCCTCTGTGATACTTTAGAGCTGGCTCTCATCAAAGAATTAAAGATAGGGCTGATATTCATAGGAGGATATTGATGAGAAGAAAGGTATAGAGCTGTTATTTTTTGTGGAAATGATCATTTGAAAAATCTCGAAATCTTTTTATTCTTCACTTTAACATAGAATGCAGATAAATTATTGGCTTTTAATGATCCCAAAAAATTTGGTATCTTTACAAATTGCAGATATATTTGCCAATTAAAATAAATCGTCAAGCTCGGATCATAGCGTTCTATATTTAGATCATTGTTAGTCTCCTCAATTTCCAATTCTTTTAAAAACAAGCGGAAACTCATAGAGTTTCTTCCTATTTTCTCAATTTTATTATCCTCCATCAAAGTCATTTTCTCTCTCCTATAAGACCAATCTTAAGGCGAAGCTGTTGAATGTCTATCTAAGCATCATTCTTAGCACTTTATCATGCAATGTTCAAACAGTATCGGCAGTCATTAAGGAATAGACTTGTTAAAATATAAAGCATCAATACTAATTACGCAGGCCCACTGAGAAAAGATCTCCAAGCAATAATCTTCTTTGGGGAGAAGATACATGCAGTCTTGGGGAGTGAGCAAGCGATTTTTGTTAATAATTTAAGGCTTCTGGTTATGGAACCTGTCGGGAAGATACCGAACCGATGTCACTGGTCTATTAAGTATTGCGTTGAGCTTCAGAGATGAATTTGAAAGACTGAGTATTTGTTAACTTAGGTTAAAAGTTTCTTGTTTGAGTTGAATGGAAAGATTGATGGCTTTTTGGAGAAAACACTCTGTAGCTTCAGAAAAATGACGAAAGCCGACATTAAACTCCCAAATCTATCAATAAGTCTCGAATCTGTGGGTAAACTTACTCTTGGCGTTTATCATTATTTGTGGCTGTTGGTTGAACTGAATTTTCCATTTATTATTATAAATATATTTTATTTCCAATATTTATACTCAAGTGTGGGGTTTTGGGGTTTTGGGGTTTTGGGG